TACTATATATATATATATATATATATATATATATATATATATATATATATATATATATATATATATATATATATATATATAAACAAATGTTTTAACCAGTCCATGAAAACTACTGAACCAAAGGAAAAAAAAATACAATATCAGCGAGCTAAAGCTGTTTGCTGTTTTAATGGACAGGAGATTAAAACCCAGAGGACAGAGGAAACAGAGGAAAAAAAAACATCCAAACTGGTCTGCGTGCATTACAGTTAGTGTACAGGCAGTCCTGATATTTGTGTAGTTTGTGTAGCAGCCGCATAGTTACAACCAGTTCAGAAAAATGCAGCTCATCCCATCAGCTAGTGCTGCCAAGCTGAACTAAACAGGATCAGCTGAAAAGCAGACAGTGATGAGCTGTTTTTCACTTTTGATTGCGGTCGAATAGGATTTTAGTATCTCACCATGTCGAGTTTCTGCTGTGGATGTGATGTCTGTTCTCTTGTCTCACACCTGATTTATGCGCTGCCCACTGACCTTGGTTTTACATTTTACACAGTCTTTTTAAATGAAGAAGTGTTTTCAGATTTTTTGGAGGTTTTTTTTTTTTGCTTCATGCAAGACCCTGACCTGCATATACAATCTTTGACTGGATGTAGTTCAAGACCATCAGAAACACAGAATCACAGTCGACCTAACAAGTGATGAAGATTAGGCGCGTGGAACCTCTTGGAATCTGTAGTAGTGAGTGCACACAGCTATGCAGGGTTTTTCAGCAGCAGCTGGACAAAGACATGTGCTTTTTTTTACTTAAAGAATTCAGCTACCAGAACCGTAAAACAGAATTCAGCATCAAGAACAGCACAGAGGATTAAAAAGACATCTTATGAACGACCGGTTGAGAGGATTTTTTTGACAGATTTTAGGACCATATTTTTAGAAAATGTTTCAAGTGTATTATAAAATTTAAAAAAATGCAGGTTTGTGGTTTGTTAATGGGCATGTGAAGGTATCCATGTTACACAAGTGTATTGTTATGTATCTTAATACATTTTAAATATCCTTACAGTTTTTTTAATTCATTGTATTAGTGATTTAATATAGTATTTGCTGGTGGTGTTCATGTTAGTTTTAGAATAACGTAAAAAATGAAATGAATGTTTTAGGGGAAAAAAACAGTATTACATGCTTTTATTATCATCATTATTATTATCATCATCATTTTATAGACCACATGAATGTACCAGATATATTTGCTTTGATTAACAGTAATGTAATGTAATGTGTAGTTATTATTAAACATGATTATAGTTCACTGTGTTGTTAGTGGTCGACTAGAACTAGTATTTTGGTCGTATATGAGACAAAGAATGATGTTTTAAGCAGTAAGAGAATGAGAATTTGGGAATGACATGCTGTGGCGCGTCACTATCGGCAGGTGTCTCAAAATTTTACACGGGGTGCAAGTGTTTTCAGTAGATTCTGAAGAAGGTCAGTAGGAGTGTCCGGCTGTCCATAAATTATTATTAAATTATTTAATTAAATTATTAAATGTCTTAACGGCCTAATTACGGCGTATCTTACTGATCAGTTGAAGCGGTATTGCCCATCCAGACCACTACGCTTAGCTGAGGCAGGCTTACCACAAATGCTTAGGAGACTTACAGCACAGTTGGTGGAAGATCATCCTCTTACATAGCTACTAAACTCTAAAATAGTACTCTAAGTAATATTAGGAATGCAGGTGTTTTAAAGTCCAAGTTAAAAACCTTTATTTAGGCTAGCATATGCCTAGAAGGATTATGGCTTATTTTCTGCTGTTTGTGGCTGTTATTGTATTATTATAACTGACCTTGCTAATTGATGGCAGCATTTCTAATGAAACTGATTTGATTCAAAATCTGAGGCTGAACCATTTTGCATGTGTCTTCAGTCTAATTACAAAAAGGAAAACAAACAAAATTGAAAATTTCAATTTCTGTTTAAAACAATAACAAAGACAACTATTTTACCACCTTTGTGGTTGTATGATATGGTAACTAATCATTTGTTCCATTTTTTATATTTATAACTGTTAGTAACAAAAGGTGTTCACACTGTTTAGCTCATCATTCAGCTGTGTGAGATTAACAGGTGTTCTGATGAACTGTGCTGCCTTGTCAAAATGTCTTATCGTGGAGCGTATTTACAGCTAGAGCTCTACATAAAACTGTCGGTAGGATATTTTGATAGCCTAAATCACACAAAGCAGAAGTCTGCTTTTAATTTGCCAGCTTCTTGTTCGAATTTTCCTGTTTCACCCTAAACGGTGGAATGTAACTGCTGCACCATTTAAGGTGGAACTCATTAAAAGAATAATAATGTTAAAGAGAGCTGTTGCTTGACAGCATAAGTATTTTAAACTTAAATAATTTGACAAAGCTTCTCTTTAGGTTGAATGGGGTTTTTGCCAGTGTTCTGTAAAGCTTGTCCAACCTCACAAAAGTTGCTGCGAAAACAAATACATTTGTGAGTGGAGCATGGACAGGTCATTAACACAATTGCTCAAGTTCAAATTCCCAACATTTTTTACTTACACTAAATCTACAGTATAACTATTACTGGTTGATTACTATTTAGCAATAATGAGCATCTTCTGAAGTGTGATTCTGTCTCCTTAAAACTTTGTAATTGTAGCAGGCAAAAAGAACAAAGCTAAAATTAACAAAAAAATGCTCTCGCTTAATGTTAAATGTATAAGCTTATAGGTTAGTGTCTTATAAACAAATGTACCTCATTAGTAACATGACATCAAACTGGGAAGAAGGCTTCTTTTGTTTGATGCAGCACATTCTCTAACTCATTTCAAGTAAAGGTCAAGGCCTTCATCATCCACAAAATCAATGCCTTTTCATTTCATGTATCTGCACACAAGGTAAAACTTCAAGCAACCTTGATATGAATCAAAGCAACAAAAATAAATGACAAATGAACAAACCATTACATATTACATGTGAATTTAAATATGGGCTTTCAATAATATCAATGACCATGTTTTTCAAAAAAAAAACTTTGTTTCTCAAAATCACTTTTGCTACTGTTCTAATCTTGGACTCATAAGGTCGTGTTCGCTAAACAGCAGTTTTGTCAGAGAAAATAACCAAACCAAAAATACTGAATGCCAAACAAAAAAACCTGTCTAAAATTGAATGCAATCATTACCCTTTATCATAACCAGCCATCATCCTACATAAAGGGACACATCAAAACAGATATTATGTCTTGGGAAGGGCAGGTCGTGCTGCCCCAAATCACATACAATTAGTAGAGACTGCTGGTGCAGAGAATGTAACAGCGCTGACTTTACTAAGGAAATTACTAGAACGGCGTTTCAAACAACACAAACAAAACTACACACGGCAAACACATCTACCTGTGTTAAAGACTTTAATACAATAAGGTGCTTTATGGTGGGAGAGAGAGAGACTGATTTTTTAAATAAGGGCTGGTTTTGAATAATGCAGACTTTGCATAGATCATGTGATAAACACGAAGCATTTCCGGAGAACAGGCTAATGATTTGAAGATCAGCGAAATCGGTGTTGCTCAAATCAGAGCCCATTTATGCCAAGCCCTATGTAAAACACACAGAATGCAATGTACCGCTACACTCGAGTACGAAAATATCCGAAAAACCTACAGGGTTTACTTAAAAGCTCGTCTTTGTATGCCACCTTACAACAGCTAAATAAAAGTGAATGATTTTATTTCACTTTAATTATGGGTTTTTTAATGTCGAGTGCTTAAAACAACAGCACCAACGGCGCCTGAATTATGTAAACACTGTGGTAAATAGTTGGCAGTTACGGATGAAGCTAGCATCTAATATTCGACAGTCAACAGACGGGATGCGGTAAGGGACTTGATATCTCACGTGAAAAGAGACGCTAAAACCGTAGGTTTCAGAGCGGAGGAAAAATGGGGTGCAAGTAAGAAATGAATAACAAGCTCTCAATAACAGCGGATACTGCGATGTAAACGGATTACCCAAAGCTAAAGAAATAGTAGCACGGGGGAGGGGCAGCCCAAGGTTCATTCAGTGGGCGAGCTTATTTGAGCATTAAAAATGAAAGAGAAAAAAAAAAAAAATCACAAGTCAGAATGTACATATCGAACGTCGAAAATCCTCTTGTTATCTTCTCAGCACAGCACATATAAACCACATTACCACCGGGTTTTTGTTCATTTACGTATATACTGCGCTAGCCCCAATGTTACAACCGCTTAACAGACTCTAAAACAGATATCAACCCGTAGTCTAAGATGCAAAACGATAATTTGTCGCATTCTTCCATTAAACTATCATTTGGCCAAAAAAATGCATTCGAAGCGACTGCTGCAAACAAGCTTGAGGTTGCTTAGCAATTATGCGCATTTCTTTGCCATCCCCCACCCTAAAATACGAAATTATTTTCCACGACATTTCTTCAGTGCAGCAATGCGTATCTCCTTTATAGCGAATTGAGGACAGAGGTAACGCACGCCACTTTACATACTAGGATAAGGAACATGAGTGCGCGCAGCCTTCCCTCAACAAAAAAAAATCATAGCCTAGGCCTACGATAAAAAGGGGGAACGCGCACCATAGCGAAAGGAACGTGTTTTCATTGGCTTATGTACAATTACCTCTCTACACGTGACACGCCCGCTTGCAATAAACAAATTCTAATTACTACCTTTAACGTTTCTATCCTTGAACCAACCAAAACCAAAAATTAAATCAGACAAAACCAACGGGCTGAGTCATAATTAACGATCGTATAATGTCAAGAAAATAATATTATCGACTACAACCACTGCAATTTCGTATTAGATCCTGAGGGAGGCCACCAGATTAAGAAACAGCCTTGCGAAACAAACAAAAAGCTGCTGCGCTTTCCGAGAACGGGAACAGATTAAACCCTGGCATGCCGGCATCGAACGTAAATAACATAACCCATAAATACTCGCTTAACATTTCTGCTCGTAATGTTAAATGAGCTTACCTACACAGTGAATGAGTTTATGCCGCCATGAGTCAAGTTCCTGCCGAAAGCCGCGCCTCTCGATCGTACATTGCTGCCGTTTGCACAGACTCGCCATTTTCTATCGGCCCCTCCCGCGGGCGCGCACGTTCTGCTGGGAACTTCCTGGAGTACGTCACAAGTATGTTTGAGGCAGGAGTATAGTGTGGTGGGGAGGGGGCTGTAACAGCATCTTGTGAATCCAAACAAAACGATTTACAACTGCATCGCAGTACCCAGTTTAGGATGCCATGAAGAAACCAGAGCAATACAATTCATTTTAAATTTCACAAGGCCCTAAAGTGCACTGTTTAAATTCAGTACAGTGATGGTCTCATTGCAACAGGATTTTGGGTGAACTGCCGCCTTGTAGAGCAAAGCTCTAATGATTTTTTTTTTCCAAAAGTTGCTTCAGATTTCGTACCTTAATTGTATATGAAAATATTGAGTCTTGGAAATTTCGTTTGACATTTGTTAGCAGAATTTTTGAGCAAATTATAGACTGAGCAATCAAACTGTGACAAATCAATAGCACTTGACACTTTCATAAAACTAAAAACTGTTTATTTGTTCGTTTGTTTATGAACAAAAAATATTTGTTACACCATTTCAAAAAGTTAAGAAGCTAATGCATATTTGTATAGCCTTGTCATGACACAATTGAATTTTATCATCTACACATAAATTCCCTGATGTAAGAAACAGCAAACTAAGACTGCAATATGCCAAGCTATAGTCTCTGATTGCCAGCTCTTTTCATTGTAATAGAACAAACTGTCTATGAGCAAAGCTTATTTATTATAGAACACCAGAGAGAATTAAAACCACACTTTAAAACAGGCTAAACGGACTTCTGGTAAAGTCATGATAGGAGTATCAGCTTGATTCTCCTGCTGAGGGAAGAAACCATAAAAAATAGACATATCACTATTTGATTCTAAATAAGCAATACAAATTTCAAAGCAAAGCAACCAAAAAAGAAGACAAACGAGACCAAATGGATATGTCTTCGCACAAAGATGAAACATGTACAAACATGCACAGCCTATGGAAGAAACATATGGAGGCCTATCGAGACACAAAGACTACCGTATCTAGGGTGTAATCCACCTTTGGTGATGTTCTGGTGCGCACAACAAAACTGGAACAACAAGTAGCAATTGTTGAACATAGAATGAGTGTATGGAGGGCACTCTGACATGAGAGAGCCATTCACTATGTACATCTTAGGCCAAAAACATACTCAACACAAGTATGTGAATGCAGTTACTTGTAGGTATGCAGACATGGTTTTACACGTTGTTGCAAATAAAAAATGTGTCAGGACGCAATTCATAATGCAACACATTCTGAGTATTACAGCAAGAGGCACTATAGTGACAGCCAAGCCAGACCAAGCTGTCTTGTGCCACTAGCATGCTTTCTCCTGAGCAACTGTCATAGCAGAGAAGCAGTTGGACAAATCTCTTACAAAAACAGTTCACTCGCATTAATATATAGATACACCATCGACTCATTAACAGAATGCAAGAAATGCAAGCGTGTAGGAGAGATAATAAAACAATTAAGAAAACAAAAATATTGAAATGCACCATTCCCATTCCAAGACCTTCACAACCATAGCAGATGCAGCCCCAGACTTAAGGACATGAGAATTCATGTTAAGGTGGATAATTGAGGTACTCTCCAGAAGGCACTATTGCATAATCCTTCCATCACGGCATCAACCTCAAATAGAGCAGGTCTATCAATGATGACAAACGCGGACTTGCAAAGTGAAAGATGAATAGCAAACAACTTTGAGATGTACTACCGCATTTTCAAAAAAATTTGGCTGCTAAAGAAAACTGTAAATGTTAGAATACAAGAATGCGCAAATCATTTAATACCTATATTTAATTGAAAATAGTACAAGGAAAACATATCAAATGTTGAAACCAAGAAATTGTATTGTTTTTTGAAAAATATATGCCCACTGTGAATTTAATGCCAGCAACACACTTCAAAAAGTTGGGGCAGGGGCATGTTCACCACTGTGTTGCATTATCTCTTCCTTTAACAACACTGGATGGCAGTACATATTGTTCAACATTAATGGTGGCTTCACAGACATGCAAGTCACCCACTTCAAATTTGTGCACTAATGCACCCCATACCATCATGGATGCTGGCTTTTGAATTGTGCGCCGATAACAAATCTTCTCTTTAGCCTGGAGTCCACAGCCTCCATGATTTCTTATTTCACAATAGCGTACAGACAACTCTAATCACAACTTTGCTGTAATTTAGTTTTGGTAGCACTATGGGTGCCCCCCTGGTGAGATTATAGATATTAAAATAGAGACTGGAGATTAAATGTCTCTTTACTGACCAATGCAGAGGCAGTGCAAGATTTAAGACAGAACTTAAAATAATACTTTGAGACAAATGATAATAGAGAGGAAGCTCCACCAATCCTGTAGGGGAAGCTAAAACTGTCTTAAGAGGGAAAATGATTCAGATTTCATCAAAAATACAAATGGGAAATGAATCTAAAGAATAAAATAAGGCAATTAGAAAAAGAATATAAAACTAAAAGAAGCACATAACATTCTGTTAGAACTACAAGAAACTTGGAAGGCCTTGGATAAGCTTTTCACATATAACGCAGAAGGAGCCTTAAGATTTTCCAAACAAAGATATTATGAGATGGGGAACAGCGCCAATCCCTTGTTAACGTTTTCTAAACGTTTCATAGATTTAGTACCAATATTAACTGAAGCCTCCAAAGGCAACCCACTGAATACATGGTCAGAGACCATTATATCAGTGATCCACAAAGAAGGGAAAGACCTGACATTCTGCGAGGTGTATAAACCCATTATTTTGTTATGTAACTACCAAAAGTTACTGACCAATATCCTGACAAAAAGGATGCAAAAATTTTTAGCAAAACTGAACAGTCTAGATAAGACATTATCCCTGGTAGGCAAGGAGCTAACAAGAGCACTAAATGTTATAATGTGTGCCAAGAAAAATATGCAGAGAGTTAGTTTTGATGCACGGAAACTAGTCATACCATGAACTATTAGGTTTCCTCAGTCCCTGCATTGATAAGAAATTTATAAGAATATGGAGAACATTCAGGTTATCAAATTAACCAACCAAAGTATGAGGCAATGATGTTGGTGGGGCACTGGCCTGCACAACTACTAGGAAGATTTAAATTCCACTGGTCAAGTGTTCAGATATGTGGGAATCACCATAACCTCTGATACATCATAGTTATTTAAGGCCAACTATGGGAAACTGATGTATGGGGCAGTCGTGGGCTGGAGGTTAGGGAACCAGCCTTGTGACCGGAAGGTCGTCGATTCGATCCCCGTGGCCGACAGTACGTGACTGAAGTGCCGTTGAGCAAGTCACCTAACCCTCCCTGGGCGATGTGGAAAGGGCTGCCCACTGCTCCCGGCAAGAGTGCTCACTGCCCCCTAGTGTGTGTGTTCACTAGTGTGCATGTATGTTCACTGCATGGATGGGTTAAATGTGGAGGTCTAATTCCTCTGTGTGCAAACACAGTAGGCTAATGGAAGAAGTATGACATAAAAATTGACTTTACAAGATGGGATGTCCTTGGCTTATCTTTAATAGGCGAGTGAAAACTATATCAATGAACATATTGCCATGGCTGCTTTTTCTGTTCGAATCTCTACCCTTAGACTTCCCCATTTCTACATTTAAAACATTCAACAAATGGCTAAATCTACAATTATGTAGCAAAACTATAGACCTAGAATTAGTAGTATAGAACACTAGTTTTTATTTCATGTATTTTAAGGAAATATTCCTAAAATATACTTTTCTGTAACACTTTTTTCTGTAAACATTTTAAGTGAACTTTAGTATGCTGTAAGGAAATACACTCAATTACTTAACATACTGCAGCATTCTTTAAAAAAGTACATTTTACTGTCATGAATTTTATTATGTGCTCTTATTTAATATAAGGTAAAGACAACACACACACACTTTCTATATATATTCGCTTATCTTTCTGGGTCGCGGAGGTAAAGAAAACATGAGTAAACAACATTGGAGAGTTCGAGCATGAACTGCCTGTTTAAGGTCTTGTTACAGCATCTCAATGGGATTTATGTCAGGACTTTGACTCGACCACTCCAAAACCTTAATTTTGTTTCTTTTGAGCTATCCAGAGGTGGACTTGCTTGTGTGCTTCAGATCATTGTCCTGCTGCAAAACCCAACTTCTCCTTCAGGATTTTCTGATAGAGAGCAGAATTCATGGTTCCATCAGTTATGACAAGTCATCCAGGTCTTGCAGAAACAAAGCAGCCCCAGACCATCACACTACCACCACCATGCTTGACTGTTGGTATGATGTTCTTATGATGAAATGTGGTGTTACCTTTACGCCAGATGTAACGGGGCCCATGTTTTCCAAAAAGTTCCTCCTTTGACTCATTAGTTCTCAGAATATTATCCCAAAAATTATCCTGTGGGCCATCTAGAGGTTTTTTGGCAAATGCGAGACATGTCTTTGTGTTCTTTTTGGTCAACAATGATTTGCGCCTTGCAACTCTCCCATGCATGCCATTTTGCCCAGTGTCTTTCTTATTGTGGAATCATGTACAAGCCTGCAGTTTTTAAATGTTCATCTGGGTTCTTTTGTGACCTTGTCGTTGGTGAAACTTTAGTAGGCCAGCCCTCCTGGGAAGGTTCACCACTGTTCCAAGTTTATAATGATTCTCACTGTGGTTTTTGTAGTATTGTATTATATTTTAAAGTATACACTGTATACAAAAAATATTTTTTTTCAAATTATGTCAAAAACTGAAAAATGTAAAAAAAATGGAGATACGAGGTTTTCTTCTGACAACAAGGATATTCTCAAGTTTCATGTGTATATATATATATATATATATATATATATATATATATATATATATATATATTTCTTCCTTCTCCTGTAAAGTTACTATTTTGGGGATACGAGGTTTTCTTTTGATAACAGTGACATGGAATGAAAGTCTGAATATATGGAATGAAACCTGAGAATATGGAATGAAGTCTGAATATATGGAATGAAAGTTTGAATATATGGAATGAAACCTGAGAATATGGAATGAGAGTCTGAATATATGGAATGAAACCCGAGAATATGGAATGAAAATCTGAATATATGGAATGAAACCTGAGAATATGGAATGAAATCTGACATCATCATGGCACTAGCACTATCTTGTGTTTTCGATGTCTGAGGTTCGGTATGGATGCAGGCAGTGCGTCGCTATGACTGAGTCAGCACGAAATCTAGTAGCAGTAATCCGGAATAGTGAGGGGATAACTAACACCCTGACGAATGCATGTTTGGGCCAAAATAATACCAGTAACCATATTTAATACAGTTTTACCAAGTAAGTTTATTCACTGTTTCATCCCTCAAAACTACAGGTCTTCACCATGATCTTGCCATCTCATTCAAAAACCCCTTGTCCATTCCTTCTGAAACCTTGGCGTGATTCTGAATGGTATTTTCCTGACTTGGTCATACAGGTTTTTCCCTTACAACATCTAGAGGATTTAACCCTTTCTCTCTAGGAAGGTCACCCAGGTGCTTGTTCATTCTCCTGTC